CTCCAGGTCTTGGTGCAATGTCCAGAAGCTGAGCCTCTGGGTGTAGCGGTATAAGCAGGACACAGGTGTGGATTACAGCAGTGATCAACCAGTAGCACGGACATCACCTGAAAATCCTCCATGTGTCTCCAGATGAGTCCCTCTTACATCCCACTTACATATATATTATACATATATAATACTATATTACATTATATTGCATTATATTGCATTATATTACATTATATTGCATTATATTGCATTATATTGCATTATATTGCATTATATTATATTATATTATATTATATTATATTATATTATATTATATTATATATAATAATATAGACTACAGTTCCAAATATGTCTTTGCACATGTCTGTTGCATGCATCTTTACTTCCAAAGTTCTGCAGGTAAATAACCATTTGGTGTTTGATTTGGTCTGCATGCAGCACATCAGCTGGTCTCATTACAAGTAATTCAAAGACTTTCCAAAGTGATAACTCTCTGCTTATTTTCATTTCCTGCCTCTAGCAATGTAGTAAGAAATTGTCTCATTTGCTGTTTGAAACCTGCAAGCAGAAGTGAAATATTCTGCTATCCAGGACAGGTCAGAGTGTAGATTTTTCCACTGTCCCAAAGCTTAGTTTAGTCAGCTGGATGATTTAGAGCTGGTAAGTGTGTAGCAGGGCATAAAAGAAACACTTCATGCTCTGTAAAAGCAGCCTTGAGGTGCAGTAGGGCTCTGCACAAGAGCACTAATTTGTCACAGGATGTCCCCAAGCTGCACTGCACAGCCCAGGCTGGACATGGAGAGCAGGACACAGCAAGAATTTCCTAGAGCCTCACTGTGGCTGAAGGGTTATTATCCATCCCCAGCAAATAAGTTTTACTTTCCCAAGGAAAGCAAAAAGACCAGCAGACACAATCCTGAAAAACAGCATGCCTCTGAAGAAGGACATCTTCTTGCTTTGTGCTCAGGCATCTGATATCTGGCAATCGATTTGTTTCTTTGAATATCCTGGCTGGATCATCCAGTGCCCTCCTGTACAAAGGGCACAGAAAAATTGAAATCAGTTTTTCCTGGAAACAGATGCCAATTAAGATCACTGGAGAAGGGCAGAAAGGGAACCAGAAACATCTCACTGGAGTTGTTGACACAGGTAGAATGCTGGAGATGGTCCTAATCTTTCCCAAAGCCTTTTGTTCTTCTCTTTCCCAAGCAGCTTCATCCTTGAAGTTTTTCCTGTGTGAGTACAGGCAAAAACATGGTGGAAAGAGCTGATCTGAGCTCACATGGATCATTGGAGCTTGTGGCAAGGCTGCTCTTCCCTTAATGGAGAGAAATGTCTTGCTCCCACTGGGCAGTGAAATGACAAAAGCCTCACTTCCAGTTTAGTCCCAGTGATCAAAAGCTGCCATTGGCTTTTTCTTTTTCCAGAAGGTGTCTTTGCTCACTTTTGTCCCCACAGTTGTTCTCATTGCTCCCTGTAACTTTGTACAGAGGGGCAGGAGGAAGAAACGACAGGGAAAGGTTGCTAAGCCTAAGCCCCTCTCTCAGCATGCAGCACACAAAGCCTTTCTGCTTTGGCTTATTCCAGAAACAGGATCTAGTGGAACCCTCTGTCCCTGCAGCACAGTTTGGCCATTGCTGGCAACAGGCTGCAGGTTCTGTACTGAGTTTCCAAAGGCTCAGGACCGAGGCCCGACAAACTTGCTTTGCCTGGACTACTACAGAGAGCCTGCTGCTTTGTTTCAGTTTGGTTTAGTTGCAGGAACACTTTTTTCCTTCTAGCCAGGTGCCTACAGCTGATGGGGTTTGCTTTCACTAGCACTGCATGGTAGAGCCATAGTTTCATACCAGCTCTCCTGTGCACCATGAGGTGTTCACTACTCCAGTTTCACACACTGGAGCTGACAGAGGTGATCATGGGCTTGGTGTGACAGCAGAGTCCTGCAAAGAGGAAGCACAGGGTGCACTGAGGGGGGCTGCAGGCCCAGCGGGATGGGAAGAGATGGGGCACAGGCCTGACTGAAGCACTCACAGCTACAAACCACTCGCCTGAGGACAGCTAAAGAAATGCAGATACAGAGCTGGATGAGAATGGTTTCAAGGGTAGAAAAGAGGACAAAGAAATAATATCTTACATGTATAGAATCAGCATCTCTTGTGAATGTGGATGTGAAGTTGAGTTGCAATCCAATGAAGAAAGAAACAGGTGTAAAAGTATGTAACAAATAATAAAACTGAACCCCAGGAGAAACTGGAATGAGGAAGAAGAAACCATCACCATCAACCTTACATTCCTCCCACAGAACAACTCCAGATCCTGATGATTTCCTGTAACACCACCATCAGAATGAAACCACCAATGTTAGGATTTACATGAGCATGGGCAGAGGGAACAAACATCAGCAACAGGGATGGAAGATAAGAAGTGTGCAAAAGGCTTCAAATTATTTTTAAATTATTATTATTGATATTGAAATATTTTCTGATAGGAGTATTATTTATTTTTCTGTAATAATTTGACCTAGACTAATAATGGTTTTTTATTACCATGCTAAGATTTCAGTTCTACTAACATTCAATTCTTGTCTTTATATGTAAGGTATGTTTCCCTTTTCCCAGAAACAATATTTTGAGCATAACACTGTAAGAAGGTTTCTGAATAGCTCAGAAACATTCTATATTTCTCACAGGTTCAAAATAACCAAATACTTTATAAGCTGAAATCACCAGGAAATGTGAAAAATGCATCTGCCCAGGAGAGATCTAAAGAGCTTCTCAGCCTCAGATGGAAAAGTAAATAGTGTTGTGGGTAAAATCAGCTTTTGTTTTTCAGTTTTTCCCTTCAAACCTGTCCCTGATGTCTTGGATGCTCTCTCTGTGAGTCAAAACTGATTCTATTCCTCTTCTAGACTGCACTTTGTCAAAGAGGAAAACCACAACAAACACCTTATGAATTAGGAACCATTATTTTTAGCCACAGATCAAAATTCAAATAAATAAATAGAAACTTCCAAAGTTCTAGTCTTTTTCTAGTTCCTCAGTGAAGCTTTCCATATAAATGTCTTCCATTTCTAATGGTTCTATAACGTTTCACTGATGTATTATGCTTACAATAAAATCCAGTAGCAATGCATTGCCATCAAAAGGTGCCCTTAGCACCAGCTTTTCTAAACTCCTGGAGAAAAAAAAAAAGAAGAGGCCAAGGGCAAGAGCCACCAGAGCAGACAGTCATTTGGAGCCATAAAGAAGTGAGCAAACCACGTGAGGGACTCCTAGTTTTGAGCTGGGTTTCCTAGGCACAATTACAGTGTAACCTGTAATTACAAGGTACAGTGTAATTAGAGATGTTTTCACATCCTGGACATCCTGGAGCTGTGTGTGGAGGTGATTGGCCAGAAGCCTCATGGCCATTTCTGATTCTGGGGTTTTGGCTTCCCTTTTCATTGGAGATACTTGCAGAACATTTTTCTCTTGACTTCTATGTGTCTTTGCAACAATTCAACTCACAGGACTACCTAAAATTAATCTGTATGCCTAAAAAGCATGATCCAGATGCTCCTTGAGCTGTGACAGGCTGGGTGCTGTGAGCATTTCCCAGGGGAGCTTTATGTTAACATCTGCAGCAGGTGAGGGTTTTTTAATGGCTATAAAGCTTAGGAAGATGTGCAAGATCTAGACCCAGTTTTGTGAGTGGCTTTGGTTTTCTCTTTGGATTACTCCAAACAACATTTGGAGATCTGACACTTGAATTCTCTCTAGTTTGAATATAATTACTATATGTTTTTCTTTTTGTGAAATGAAAATAAGAATTTCCTGATATGCTGTATTTTCCTACCAAAGTGGTGATACCATTTTATTGCAATCTGTTGATTTATAGGATGTGTGGGAACCCTCCTTCCTTAATCAGAGCTTGCCATAAAGGACTCTTAGTTAATTTCTTTTCTGTGAATTTAATTTTGGCCAGGTCCTTCTGCCTCATCCAATAGGACCTTCCCCCTCAAACCTGTAGGCCTTGGTCCTCTGTGTTTTACCAGGGTGTTGCACAAGTCTGATTGCCTAATCCCACTTCCCCCCATTGCTGCTGGCTCTGAGACAGTCCCAAAGCAGGACATCTGAGAAATGCTTTGATCAAAGCTCCCCACCCACCAGTGGGGTTTGGCCATTAACCTTTTGTTTATGCCCTTGCTGTGCAGCAGGGGCACTCCAGGTATTTCCTTGCTAAACAAAGGAAGGCATTTAAACCCAGCTTTAAATCTGTTTTATGACTCTGGGCACCGTTACTGCACACACCGTTTGACTCTTTTCTCTGCAGAGATTAATGCTGGCATCTTAAACATTACTAATGCCTATAGACAATCCATTAACATCAGTGTCTCCTAAGTGGCCAGCCATACCATTATTTGTAAAATAGGGATCCTTTCCTAGTGCTAGCACTACCAATCCCTTGATTTCCCGAGCACAGAATCATGCCTGTTATCAGCTGTGGAGTATTTTACACTGCTACATGTTTTTTACTATATAATGAGCTGTGTGTGTGAGAGTGACATTAAAAAACCCCCATAAAATAGCAGAATATTGCTATTCCACTTGCTGCAGTGTATGAGCTGATCTGGTTAGACACGAAATGCAGACAGAAATCCGCCTCACCTCTCAAGCTAATTTTAGTCTCTCCCTCTGTTCTCTGTGGCTGTGTGTGTATAAAATCACTGGCAGTCTGACAGCGTTTCAGTAACCTGTGCCACGCGCAGAGCGGGATGTACTCACCAACCATCTGCTTGCATGGCACGGGTTAACTGAGCCTGTGGGATTGTGCTTACCTAAACAAAACCACTGCAGTGAGGGGAAAAACAATGAATGGGTGGAGATGATCAGCCCATGCATTCCAGCTAGTGCAGTCCAGGCAGCAATGACAGCCTGAAGGTTGCAGCAGCATCGGGATCAGCATTCCAAGTGCACCAATCTTACAGTCTGGAGTGATTTTACGTGGAGCTGTTCTTTATTTGCTGAGCCATGGCCAGTAACCAGGCCAGCCTGCAGGATGATCAGAGCAGGCACTGCAAGTTCTTATCCTACATGTTCTACCAGGCTGTGAGAGATCACAAGCCTGTGTGGATGCTGGAAGACATGAGAACTATGGAGTATTTTTACTGGGAGGAAAATGCCAGCCTACGAACCTACTCACCTTCAGAAGCCCTTCTCTATGCAGTGGTGCATAATCACCTGCCTTATGCTCAGTATCTGCTGTCTCATTTTCCAGAGGAGGCTCTCAAGGTGCCTGGGGAACACTTCTGTTATTGCCCATCCTCTGCTCCTCACCTGGCCATGGCGGTCACATATGACAGGAGAGATATCTTGGGACTGATCATCAAAATTGCACACAAGCTCCCCAGCTTGAACTCCTATATCAATAGGGCTGGCTGCTTTCATCTGGAAGATGGGAAAACACCCCTGCACCTTGCCTGCGAACTGCTGAGGTCAGAGACGGTCCTCATCCTCCTCGGGAACGGAGCATCTCCCAGGATAGAGGACAGTAAAGGGCTGACCCCACTGGACGTCATCCTGGAGCAGATGTGGGACTCCAAAGTCAATGTCGCATCAAAGAAGCTCTGCCTCGACTACCTCTTGCTCTTCATGCCCAACCCACAGTTTAAGATGCGCAAAGTTCTGCAGGAGCATCCAGACCACTGGACAGCTTTGCTGGGAGAAGACAAATTCAACAGCCTGGTGGGGAACACACCTGCTTCTTTATATCTGCAAGCTATGCAAACTATTCTCCAGACTCTTCCCCCTTCCCACTTCCCTAAAAGCATCCAGGAACTACCTATACCTCAGGCACTAAAGCCCTTACCATCCTATGGCAAAAAGCTACCAGCAAAAAATGTGGTAAATGTTTTTCCTTGACTTTATTCAATGGGTCTTGGATATTCCAAGGCAACTTAGAGGAGCTGGTTATCCACCACCCTCTGCATTTTAGTGTGATTTTAGTACTTAACCTATTAGGCTATGCTGGAAAATCCAATATTTTGTGACAAGATTTTAAATGTCTTTTCTAACTGATTGCAGGCACGGCACTTTTAAAGGCAAAAGACTTCCTTGTTTTCTGTTTTGTTGTGCATGTGAAGGGTTAACTGTAGTTGAGACTGTGTAATGTTTGGTTTCTTAGCTGTCAGCTGGTATCAGTGTATCTGAATTCCCAATATGATAACTGTATCCTGTGTAATGCACCTGGGTTAAAAGGAATTACGTACCCAGTGGGATTTTTAAATGGTGTCACTGCTAGAACTGGGAGGAATACCATCCCCTGCTAACATGGTTCAAACATCAAGTTTCCTTTCTAACAATGCTCAAGCATCATTACTAATAATCACAAAGTGCATGGCTGATGCTGCAGAGATGCAGAGGCAGTTCCTGCAGGATAACTGATCCTACCAAGTTACTTTACAGCAGATCATGGTGTGGAGGGCATGAGTTCAGAGAGGGGCAGTGTGTGTATATTCCTGGAGGATGGGAGATAAAGATTCACAGAATATCTAATGGGAAGCATCCAGTCTCACCTGGGAGCGAGGGGGTTAAAGGCAATCCCAGCCCTGATGCCTCTACAGACTTGTGCAATGGGGAAGGAACCATTTTTCCCGCTGTCCAGTAAACAAATGGCAATTGGAGCAGGGACATTGGGAGCCCTATCTTTCACATGTGGCATTATTTCTCCTTGGCCTGTGTTTTGGAACGTATCTCTACAGGAGATGTAGCTGGCTAACTTGATTTCCCTGTGGGTCTCAGAGCCACAGGCATTTGTTACTTATCCTAAGCTGGGGTATGATGTTCTGCTGTTAAAAGCTGTTACTTGTTGTCAGAGTATTTTTGCCGCCCAGATCCAGACAGAAATCCTTACCCTGGAAGTTACAAAATGTTCCCACAAACTGGGCGCTGCAGGCAGGGTGAGTTTGCAGAAAGCAGGGCTGGGTCTGGGCAGCCTTCTGAGTAGCTCTGAATCACGCTGCCCTCTCTGCTCAAGGCACTGGTCCTGCTCTCCTGGCTGTTCTCAGCATCAATACAGCAGTGGCAGAATCCCATCTCCCTTTGGGGGACATCCCTTATTTTGGATACCAGTGTTCCCCACTCCTTGTAAGTGCAACTCTCTGTTCTGCTGAAGTAGTACAACTCACTTCCCCTGCCTGCACTGGGCAGCAGTGGAGAACTCACTCTCCTCTTCAGCTGGATTTGGAGCCCAAGGCAGTGGGGCACAAACCATTTCCACAGCAGTAGCTAAGAAAGATGTGCAGTCAAATCTCAATTACTTTGTGCAAAATTACTTTGTGCAAAAATGGCTCATGTCACATCTAGCTAATTCCCTGCCTGTGCCAAGGAGGCCGTACTGGACCTGCTCCCATATTTCTGTCAGTGCAGGGAGCACTTCCATTTAATTTCCCTCTGCATGGGCTGCCTCCTGTGTGCCAGGACACTGGCAATGACAGCCATGTCCAGGTGGAGATTTACTGTGAGGCTGCAGAACATGCCGCTCACAGCCACCTGGACCATCCTTTCTGAGACACTGGGATGTTCCTCCTAGCCATCTCCTCCTGCTGTGGGAAGACCTCAGTTCTGGTGCCACCTGTGCTAGGCCAGGTAAATGAGTAGCCTTGCTTGTGAGGTGGAGAAAATGTCAGCCCAGACCTAAAAGTGGCAAGCAAGCCATGAAGGGGTTAACCCTTCTCCTGTGGTTCTTCCCACATCTCTGGTGCTGCAGTGTCCCTCCACTCCTGCCCCTGGGGACTTAAATGTCCTTCTCCATCTGCATCTATTTCTCCTTGTTCGATGGGGAAGGCTGCTAATGGGGAAATGCAGGGTCAGCGTTGGGTGAGAGTTTTGGGGGAAGCCTGCGCTCGCTTGACAGCTTGTGCTGCAGACAGGGGCTGTCACAGCTTGGGAAGCAAAGCAGAGCCCAAGGCAGATTTGCATTATAAGCAGTGGCTCAGCTGCTTCTGCCAAGCCCTCAGGCTCCTCAGCACTGGCACATACTCCCCCCAAAACCCGGAGCTGGAAGCAGAGGATAGAGCAGGCTCTCGCTGCCCATGGCTGCCTAGAATGACTGTGCAGAGCACGGCCCCTGTGGCACCCCGGGAGTCCCGAGGAGCAGGATTGGATTTGTCCCCAGCAGCACTGCGGTATCTCATCCGGATGTTGGTGGGTGAGAGGCGGAGGAGGCTGGTGAAGGATATTATTAGAATAGTAATTAGGTCCTGGAAGCAGAGACCCCGGGAAAGGAGGAAATGGAGATCATCCAGTGCTATTGCATTGGCTCGAAACTGTGTGAGTTTCAGTGCTGTGAAGAGTTTCAGAAAAGACAGGAGGGAGGAGAGGATTGTTCATCTTACAAATCCAAGGAGGCAGGTAGGGACTGTTGGCATTAATGCCAGCACTTTCTATTAAGGCAGGAGGCCACGCTCAGAGAACCAGAGCAGTGAGCAAGTGAGTGTAAAATGGTGCAGGGGTCTCTTGTTGGCTGCAATAGTTGTGGATCAATGCAGAGGTCAGGAATCAGACACTTTATGGGTGGGTTTGTAGCAGCCAGCAGGATGCTTGTGTCCATGCGGGAGGCTCCTCTCAATCCACCTGCCAAGAGAGAGGACAGAAGGTGAATTGTCTCGAATAGTTTCTTTCTGGGACATTCCTGTGACTGGTGCCCCAGCCTGGAAGAAAGCTGCTGGTCCACTGTTGGCCAACACGTAAAAATTCTGGTGTGTCCAGCCAGAGTATAACAGGCAAGTACCTGCACAGGAAAGATCACTCCACAGCCCCCTCATTTCTCCTTTTCTTGACCATTTTAGCAATCCCATCGGGCCTCCCATGTGCAGTCCCAGTGTGACAAAGTTTAGGGTCATTAGCACTGTGGTGACAACTCTTTCCATTGCCTGTAGCAATGTGACAGCAGGAAGGGCACTCCTGCTGGAATAGGGGAATCTTCTCCCTAGACTCTGTTTGCTTGTATTGTGGTGATCTGCCTGTTAGTTTGAGATCCCATTCATCTTCTTTGTCAATACAGTGACATTACATCAGATATGGCCAAATCTACCTCAGCCCCATCTGTGTTGGCTTTTTCTCTCCATTCTTTCCAAGCCAGGTCATTAGCAAAAGTAAACTCAAAAAAATTTTGCAATATTTTCCTGCAACCTGACCATCTTGAAATATCCCTATGCTTGCATGGCAAATATGTTGGTGACTTTGTTAATCAAAAAGGGTGCTGGGTGCTGTGTGGTGGTGTTTACATTCTGCATATCTGCATACTGAGTAAGTGTTGCTCAGATCTGTATTTCTGAACTTGGGAAAAAGAATAAACACAAGAGAGAAATGGGGAGAGGGTAAAGTCTTTTTTGATCTTTGGATTTAGGTTGGCTCTGTAAGTTGCATCTCTTTAATTTCAATTTTGATGAGTAGCATTGTAAGGATCTGAATTGTCTGTATGTGCGAGCTTTTGGTTTTGGTGAGAAGCACTTCAGTGAGTGCAGTGGGGCAGTGAGTGAAAACGTGCAGATGTGGGTGTGCACTGTGTGAGTGCCTGCCCTCTTGTCCTCTGTGTCTGCCTGCCCTCTCGTTGCACACGTGTGAGTGTCTGCCTGCCCTCTCCTGGCGAGTCCGTAACCGACTGGCAGCTCCCACCCGCTGCACTCCTCGCACCAGCAGTGAGCCATGCCCTACGGAAGCAGCCTTTTCAGGTGCTCAGTGTGTGTGTCCCAGGCCCTGTGCTGCTGACAGGTAAGGATATTTCTTCTCTTGGAAAGAGGCAGCAGTTTTGCTCTTGAAATGGGTGTTTTATCTCCGAACACCAAGCACAAGGGCTTCTGCTTGCCGGCAGCTACAATCATCCAGCAAAGGATTCGTGATGCTGGCCACACTTTATTCTAGAACACATTAAAAAAAAAAAAAAAAAAAAGTCTCTTAAATGTACATCTTTGTCTTTCTTTTTTTCTGGGCTGCCAGCAAAATTCAGCCACCTATGACTTCCTAACCCTGTGCTTCTGTCTATTTCTGCAGCATCATTAGCAGGAAGGACAGGCCAGATTCTGACCTCAATTACACCTGCCTGCACCTGAAGTAACACTTTTTAAGTCGGTTCCATCACTACAGATGTTTGTTGGTCTAAAGGAAAACAAACTGTTCGTGCATTTGTGTTCTTCAAGGCTCCATAACTCTGACTTTAGCATACAAAGAAATGTGACACTTAATCCCTGAAAACATTTTTTACGTTTTTTGTACTCTGAATGTATATAGATATATATTTTCCATCTCTAAAATCAATGGCATTTCCCTGTTCCCAGTTCCCTTGGCGTTTCTGGAATCAGCATAGCAGTGAGAGATGCTGTTGGTCACTTATTAAGACTGAATGTTGCCATTCCCAAGTACAAATGAATGTTCATTGTATGATACAACTTTCTTATAAAGCCATACTTTTGTAATTTTGGTTTCTCTTTTTTAGGGGGGGGAAAAATCTTCCCCATAATTGTGTTTGCACATTACTCGCTGCATGATTAAAGATAAAACAATTGTAACTTGCTGGAATAAACGATATATACATAGCCTAATATAATTATGTACACTATCTGTGAAAATAATTTAAGCTTGATTGTGTTAATATAATAAACTTGAAATATAAAATTGATGTGTCATTTATTAGCCAACTGGTCAAAACCACCCACAAGTATCTGTTGCTTTTGCTTTGGCTTATCTTATTGTTTGATGATTTCATTCTGACTGCTGAGCCATTGTCTCAAAAAATGTGTTCTGAGGAAAATAATATTTCCCTTCACAGGCTTACAGTAGCTGACTGTGCTGTCAGAAGATGACCCCAAGTGATGAGGTGAACCCACACTTCACAGATCTGCTGAAAGGTGGTGATAAAGCAT